TTATGAATGAAAAATTTCAGCAAATGAGAGGATAGATTCGTTTAATAAAAACGTCCGTTTCATTGATTCTTTTACATTAAAACGTAATGGTCATGTACGTAATTAATTTAATAATTGATCATTGAGTTATTAATAAGATTTTTGATTGCAATTTCACGTGTCACCGTTCAGTTGGTTGCATTTATAAAAACAAATATTTTATAACGTTAATATAATTTGAGTTACTTTAAATAATATTACACTGTAAGAAAAATTCGTATTAAAACGGATAATGTCCTGGTAGAAAATTATCAGTACAAGTTTACGGACATTTCCTTCAACCTTAAAACACAATGCAATGCGTAATTCAAAATACGGATAAAACACCTGTGAAAAATCAACACAGTACATTATGCCGTATTTTTACGGATTTTTCTTGAAGCGTAAAATCCATTACATCTCTTGCCTGAAAAAAGTTTTTCTTCTAATCAGACTCAACGGCTCTGAGTCTAATCAGAGAGTTCAACCGGTTCATTGAAAAGATCCGAGTCAAATGAACGATTCGTTTGCGTTCGCATTATGTAAATAAATCACGGATCATCAGTGAATCTAACTAAAAACGCAGAGAAATAGCGCCATTTAGGCGTCATTATAGTTTAAAAAAATATTTTAAAGTTAAGCTTGGGACATTTGGAACAAGTAAGCGAGAGTTTAAAGGGTTAAATTGAACCGGAAGCACTTTCACAGTGTTACATCCTGTGGAATAAGGATACACATTTGAAATGGTCCATGGCTTGATACTTTACGTTTAAAATAAATCTCCCAAATGTCAGCAAAATGAATTACATGCCAGGGACCGCGAGCCTCATCGAGGACATTGATAGTAAGTTAATTGCAAAAGAAAGTGAGAGTATTTGAGTGAATTCACCCGCTGAGACACAGCTAGCGTTGTGTAATAATGTTCGCCTAGCATCTTTGAGCATTTATAAAAGTCACGTTGGTGGTACATGTTACGCTAAAAAATCGAAATCCTGTCCTGTTGGCTATTGTTCCGCAAGCTGAACTAGTTCGCATGAATAATAATTGCCTCAATTCAGATGGTCGTATGATCATATATAATTAAATCATGGGAAAATATTCAAGTTCAACAGTATTGATGTGACTGACGATGCTTTGATTTCCCCCTTGTTAGAGAAACACCTTGTTCTGCTTCGCGATGGAAGAACATTGATTGGGATCCTTAGAAGCATAGATCAGTTTGGTATGTATAGAGGCCTGACCTTGTTCATTTGCAAGCAGATATATATATATATATATATTCCGCTGTTTGATGTTAATAATTCGATGTGTAAAAATATTGTGATGTGTAATTTACTCACTCTCGTGTTAGTCCATACCTATATGCAGATCAATGAATCCCCCCCCCCTATAAAAAAGAATATATATATATATGTGTATGTATGTATGTATGTATGTGTGTGTGTGAGTTTTAGTATATTTATTTATTTTGCCTGTACAGTAAACCCCAACGTTCTTCAAAATATAATTTGTGTTCCGCAAAAATAAAGTCGTACACATCTGTAACAACATGAGGGAGAGTAAGTGATTTTTGGGTGAGTAATTTTTGGGTGACGATGCTTTGATTTCCCCCTTGTTAGAGAAACACCTTGTTCTGCTTCGCGATGGAAGAACATTGATTGGGATCCTTAGAAGCATAGATCAGTTTGGTATGTATAGAGGCCTGACCTTGTTCATTTGCAAGCAGATATATATATATATATTATATATATATTCCGCTGTTTGATGTTAATAATTCGATGTGTAAAAATATTGTGATGTGTAATTTACTCACTCTCGTGTTAGTCCATACCTATATGCAGATCAATGAATCCCCCCCCCCTATAAAAAAGAATATATATATATATGTGTATGTATGTATGTATGTATGTGTGTGTGTGAGTTTTAGTATATTTATTTATTTTGCCTGTACAGTAAACCCCAACGTTCTTCAAAATATCATTTGTGTTCCGCAAAAATAAAGTCAACATGAGGGAGAGTAAATGATAAAAACAAATGTCATTTTTGGGTGAGTTAAGCCTTTTTAGACCAGTAATAATGTGAAAAGGAAATTTACATTATAATTTGTGTTCCGCAAAAATAAAGTCGTACACATCTGTAACAACATGAGGGAGAGTAAATGATAAAAACAAATGTAATTTTTGGGTGAATTAAGCCTTTTTAGACCAGTAATAATGTGAAAAGGAAATTTACATTATTCAGTACTGTAAAATTTACCATTACGTTCCAACAGTGAACTTGCGTTATTTATTGATTATTTTTTTTCCCCACAGCTAATTTAGTTTTGCATCAAACTGTTGAACGTATCCACGTTGGTAAGAAATTTGGTGACATACCTCGTGGGATATTTGTCGTCAGAGGAGAAAATGTGGTCTTGCTTGGAGAAGTAGTAAGTACATGTGTTCAATCTGCCCTTGGAAGGGTTTTATGACACTGTGTATTATTTGTAAGGCCTGTGGTGTACGATGAAGCAACATTTAATGAGGATAACAAATCATAAATCTTGCCACTACTCACTGAAGTTTAACCTTGTGCTATTTTTTCTTCCAGGATCTGGATAAAGAGTATGATCAGATCCTCCAGAGAGTTTCCATTGAGGAGATCCTGGAGGAACAGCGGACAGAACAGCAAGCCAAGCAAGAGTCGGAGAGACTGAAGCTACAGGCGGTGAAAGAGCGAGGCTTATCCATCCCTAAAGCTGACACGTTAGATGATTTCTGAAACATCTTTAGTTATTTTTGGATGATTTTATTTCTGTTTTATTGGATGGTTTTGTTTGGTTTGAGACGACATTCTGTCTTGACTTTGAAATCATTCTGTCTGATGATAGAGGAGTGAGTCTCACAAGATTGCGACTTCAAGATTTTGTTTCACTAGTTGCTGGTAAGGCATTTTTTGGGAATTTCCCACCATCTTTGTTTCTTTTATGGCAGATGCCATAGTGAAATGAAGGATGGAGAGCACCAAACTAAAGCACTTGGCCTGTTGGCTTTTAGTTTAAATTTTGTAAACAACAATAATGGTATACAAGAAAATACGTTTATTTCAGTGTTCACTATGTTATGGATATGACGCTATGGTTAAGTTGGTATAGTATGTAAAACACATGAAACAACACTGAAAATATTTTTGTTCTATTAAACCTATTTTATACCGATGACAATCTACTTTTAATTGTTTCACTCTACTTGCTTCTAAAAACCACATTTAATTTTGGTCAAAATGATTTTTGATGATTAATCTCCAAAAATGTTTTTAGAAGCCAATCAACACAGTTTAAAAATATTAGAATGCATTTACACTAGATGTTTGAATAAAGCACAGAATATTATTATAAAAGATATAATAATAATAATGTTTTTTTTTTTTCCGTATATGCTTGTACAGTGGCCTTATTTCCCAATTAGGGTTTTCATGTGAAACATGTCCTTGCATTAATCGGTAGCTAGGGGGTGATTTTGCCTTTGTTCTGTTTTGAGGCAATAGTTCTGCTAGAGAAGGACATCTATCATTCTGTTAGACACGGGCTGAAAGGGCACAGCAGTGTTTTCACATACTTAGAAGAGCGCAGGCCATGGCTACAGTGAATATATTAGAGTAAATTGCAGACTTATTACAGTGAGTCTAATAATTTTGCTTACACTGACAATTTTTACTTAGAAATTGCTTGTATTACAAAGAAATGTAGGACATTAATAAATGAAATTCGGAAGTAGAAAGGCTGAAAATAGCATTTTCTTGTAAAACATACTCCAATAATCCTATTTAATCTTAATAATAAATATTTTCAATTTCGAAGAATCATTTTATAGTGTAGATCATATAGTTTCTTCAGAGTATGTAAAATGTAGAGCATTGTTGTTAAGGGGTAAATTCCTTAAATGTCACAATTGGATTTAAAATGTCTATTATAAGTAGTAGTTGCTAAAGTTTCAGAGAAAACTCGGAGTGGAATCAGAACCGGGTGAGGTGAAATTTCCGTCCACTCATCCATGATTCCAGTCCGGATTTCAGTATGTGCGCCGACACAAAACTTGATGCTATGCTTTTGGCACTATTTTCACTGACAAATAAGCAAAAATATACTAACTGGTAAAATGTAGTCTAAAGCTTAAAGTCCGCGTGAGCCGGATGTTGCTGCCGACTTTATTTCAGTGCAGTGACGTATTTCCAGCTGAAACGGAGTATTGAATAGAGGGCGTGGTTTTATGTTTGCGCTCCTCCTCTCGGTCTCTCACTCATAGCAATCTAACGGAGGGGCGTGTTTAGGGATATTCTGCCCAAGCCGTCAAACTGACGTCATCAGAGACGGAATGCCATTCCAGAGCAGAAGCAAATGTTCAGATTTTTATTGAAGATTACCAAGACAAACTATTTTTTTCAGCGGATTAACTTGCACTGATTAATTGTTCACATCAAGACTAGCAATGTGCGCTAGTAAAGTAAATAAAATCCATTTTGATTTCATGCTGACTTTAAAGTTTTTTTTTTTTTTTTTTTTAGTTCTGGCGTCTTTTATTGAATTGTTTTACAAAAGCAATACCACAAATCGCATTTGCGTTGTCGGTCTGAATATCATCAGTGATTGCATTTAAGCCGAATCACAGTTGTTCAACAACATTCTTGCTCGTGTGATATTGCTTAATTTTTATCTACCTATCTTGTCTTGGTTGCTCAATTAGCCTAAGTACACAAAACGTATAAGCGCCATAAATGTAATGTTGAGAAAAATGGCCACCGTTGAAATGAAAAAAAAGGGTGCACATTTTTCGTTGCTATTTATTGGCCTTGACTTTCGATCCTGGGCTATCCCATTTTCTATTATTGCGCCCAGCGCCGGCTGAATGAGCGGGAGCGGCTTGAATGTGCTGCTATCAAATATCCTTTGACAGCCATGCATGCTTGTTCTCAGTCCCGTGCGTCACAGCTGCATTTGAACACGCCCCTTCCAAACGCTTGTTGAATAGGAATGACAAGGAAACATGACAACCGCTAAAGATGAATCTCATATACTGTTATAACCGCGCGTGTTCGCATCACCGCGCCATTTGAATGCCGCTCCACCGCTGTACATCTGACCGGAGCCACGGGGAAAGCCGCTTGGGACCCAGCCAAAAATTACAACTGAAAGGAGAAACCCAGCCCTGCTTCGATTACGCACCGAGAGAGGGAGCACGCTTATAGTGACAGCGGCACTTCAACAACTAAACTCATCGGTGATCAACCGTGCGATACTTGATCCGTTTTCTGCCGTGCAGCCTCAAAGGATGTAGACCTCGGCCTGCTGTCTCTGACATGTTCGTTTTAACCGGACTAGTCGCCAGTGGCTCGACAACGCTGTGTTTGAACAGGCAATGCCTTCCTCACGCGTTTTGTGGCGCAAACTACAACAACCACACGCGTGTGCCAGCGATTCGTTGTTTTGCTTGTCTATACGTGTGTTGATCGTTTAAAATGCCTAGGTTTTGATTTAAATACTTTTATACGGACGGAAAATAGCGTATTCGGCTGGGAGGAGCAATAAGGAGCTCTATCTACTCTTCGGCTTCCACGGCAATACCACGGAGGGGTTTTTTGATGGAGCTGGAGAATATTGTTGCAAACACGGTACTCCTGAAGGCAAGAGAGGGTGAGTACGGAAAACTACCGCGAAAATGTGATCTGTCATGTTTTAATCGCATGTACTTGATTTTACAGCCGCGATACCGCTGCTCGTGCACCTATCCTGGTGATGTAATCTCAAACAGATGCTGTGTGAATTTGTCCAGCACGACCTGTAACACTGGCTGCGTCCGAAAGCTCTAAAGTGCTGCCTTCGGATGCAGAGGCATCAAGGCATGTCCGAATCCAAATTCTGCTTCACTTCCTGTCTCCGGAGGTACCTTCGGATCGAATTTTGAAGGCAGCATAGATGTATCCTTCGCTGCCTTTGATATCCCACAATCCTGTGCGTTCCATTCCGTGACGGTTGAGCTAAAAAATAAAGGCTGCTCCGAAAGCCTTATCAGACTTATCAGGCAATGACTTTGCAGGCAGCGTTTTTGCACTGAGGCACCTCATGAAACTGATTTCGGACAGGCTTCTGAGGCAGCGTAACGGTTTAATGACCGACAACAAAGTAGAACGAGATTTGGTGATAACTAAACTAATATTTAATTACTATAATACTGATTTCTCGCTAGAAATAACATCAAAAGTGTGTCAGTTAGTCAGAAATATACATTTACACACAAACTGGCAACCAAACGCAACTTTCAGACGCCATCTTTATTTTTTAGCTCAACCGTCACGGAATGGAACGCACAGGATTGTGGGATATCAAAGGCAGCGAAGGATACATCTATGCTGCCTTCAAAATTCGATCCGAAGAAGGTTCCTCCGGAGACAGGAAGTGAAGCAGAATTTGGGTTCGGACATGCCTTGATGCCTTCCTGCCTTGGCATTTTAGAGCTTTCGGACGCAGCCAAAGATGGCGTCTGAAAGTTGCGTTTGGTTGGCTTTCGGACGCAGCCATTGTTTCGAACACCACCGGCGGTCCTTTCATCTGTAACCGACGTCAGAACGCCAGCGTTATAATGCTGTAACATTGTATCGTTTGACAGTCGGTACGCGTTACGGGAAAACATCAGCCTCCTACATCCGTTTAACGCGCTGAAAAGCGAGTCGTGGTTTTTACAAATACAAGTTATTGCATGTAGGGTGACTACAAACTTAGCGTGTTTGCTATATGCTACGCTTTCAGTGAGGTAGGCTACCTAACGTGAAGAAATGGTAGATATGTTGCAGCTGACGCCTTTTTAACGTTATTCCACACAGACACCCCTGAACCAGGTCAAACAGTCTATAAGGCGATGTGAACGACGCTTGTCTTCGTTACCACAAATACCGCTACTTCCTTTGCTGGTGTTTTGATGCATAAGGCCCCATCAGACGACCATTATTCCGCTATCCTGAAGTGTCGTCTGAAGCTTTATTGGTTTCGATTCAGATTGAGCCAAATGTAAACCAGAACCACTATGCTAGGGTAGATGGATTGTAGTATGTGTTGTCTTTTTTTGTCAGGCCTTGAATGGGATTATGATAGGACAGAGATGATGTAGCATACAATAAAGCATTTTGACATTTTCTCCACAAAGAAAAAAAATTTAACATTTAGCTGTAAGCGCAAAGCTGCTCTCTTGCATCAAGGCAAATAATAATGGAGTCCTGAAGGGTCTTGAGAAGAAAAGGAGAGAAATAGTCATAATTCTTCATATTAAAAGTTAGTTGCACTACAGTTATTTTGTTTTGATTTCAACAAACCTGTTTTAGAGATGGTGGCTTATTTTCTGTCAGTCAGTTTCAAAAGGAACACAATACATAAGATTCTGTTTACAATCCACACTTCACTTTTTGCTTAGAAGTGAGTCACTTCTTGAATCTCTTCTAAAGTGTAGTTACAATTCAACAAGTCATTCAGATTTTACTTTTTGCATTTTGTCGTGATCTTAATCACCAGCTACATCTCAGTGTGTCATTCAGCTTGTGCATCTTGCCGTCCGTCGTGATCCTTCAGAGTTCAGTCATGACATTGTTCAAAGATTGCAAAATATTGAGCCGGTGAACCTTGTTAGCCATAGCGTCCACATTTTTTGCAACGTTGTGTCCGTTAATTGCCCAAATTCTCCTGTGGCCTGGAGGCACAAGCTCATATATCCAATTCCTGTGCTCTTTGTTGCCCTTAGACTGGAGTTTACCATAAATGACCAGGTTTTTAAGTGTAAGATTTACAGTCTACCTCACTATGTTGTTGAACAGAGGGCGCTAGGCTAGGCCAGTAACATTAGCTGCCTTCCTGGTCGCTGATGTAACTGAATAATGTAGATAATTTTTTTAATGAGTATTCATTAAAGAAGCTTGGTTTTATTTTTATTTTCCACACTTCCAATAGAGTTTCTCTCAAAGGACAGCGGGTTCAAGTGTACATAGTTATTGAAGGGACGTTTCACAACGCTTTGTACAAATATTGAAAAAAGCCTTTTTACCGGCATGCTTCAACATTTGATTGGACTGTCCTGCTTTTAATACAAGTAGACAACATTTTTTATTCAATAAGCTCACTTGAGGACTTTAGTAAGATTTTTCCAGAAAAACGTTTTAGAATTTTCATCGTGTAAATATAAAACATCTTATATAATCCTAACTACTGTATTTTTATTTTAGTTTGGTTTTTATTTTACTGAATTCAGTTCTTGCCATGAAAATAGCCTCAGTTGTTGACATGTCATTAAAAACTATACTAGTACTACTACTTCAAACATGTTTCTTGTCATGCTGCTGCTCTTCAAGTTGAAACCCTTTTGCACATAGAGTGAACATCAGGAAATCGGTCTTTTTAAAGTGGTCTTGTGTTTATTGATGTGTGCAGGCCTCTGTGTGTGCATGTGTGTGTGAGAGAGCGCTTGTTCAGTGAGGGTCTGCTTTGTTTGTTCTTCATCCATGTGTGTGTGTGTGTGTGTGTGTGACTGTCTCCCCATTTGTTTATCGCACTGTGTTTGAAACTGAAAATGAGGCACAAGGCACGCAGACTCTTGTCCAAATGTTCGACTAGCAGCAGATAACAGGAAAAGCAGAGTTTACAGGCCACACAGTCTGTTTACATGGCTGAAGCCACGCTTCCGAAATCATTAGAGAGTCCGGCCAGAGCCAGCCAGCCCCAAACTAAACAGAAAACCCATCTACGTCTGCTATGATATTCTGCTTGGAGACTGAACATATTCAGGCACAGACATCATGGTGGCATTGAGAAGGTAGGGAGTGTACCTTGAGTGTAGTCTTAATGCGTATTGAATTTGTACGTTTCATTTCATTGACTATTCTTAGTTATTCATGTTGCCTGCTATAAACCTAGCAACAACTAACTTCAGCTTAAAAGACATGCTACATTAATGCACACTATAGTTTGGAAGCCTGTTTCCACCTCAGAGTGAAATTTAAAATGGGTAATTGTGAGAGGTTTAAAAAAGAAATAGTTGCAGCTAAAATACAAAGTCACAGTTATGAGATATAAAGATCTACATTTCTTGCAAAACCAGCTTTAGTTTTATGTTACTGCAAGAAATACACTAATGCAGACTATAATATGGAAGCTCGTTTCCACCTGAGGGCGAAATACAAAATTGGTAATTTTGCGAAAGTGTACAAAAAGAAATAAACTTGCAACTGTCAGTTACAAAGTTGCAATTATGGAATATAAAGATCTGAGTTTCTGGCAAATGCAACTTTGTTTCCTGTTACTGTGAGAAATACACTAATGCACACTGTAATATGGAAGCCCGTTTCCACCTCAAAGTAAAAAAATGAAACGAGTAATTTGGCGAAAGTTTTACAAAAAGAAATAGATGCAATTAAGGAGACCTAATTATGAGATTTAAAAAAATCGGAGTTTCTCGCAAATGCAACTTTGTAACTGCAAGAAATACACGTACAATTGCAAAATATAAAGTTGCAAATGTGAGATGTAAAGGCACACAACTGGCTTCCGTACTATAGCGCCCATTGTGGCAGTGCTGAGATTGCGCATGCTTGCTCTCTGACACACGTTGGAATGCACTGACACATTAAATTGGGTTAGCGTTGCAGCATTTGCACTCATGTACTTGCGTGGAGTATGTTTCAAGCATGCTCACCCTTTTCCTCCCACCACTAGTGACATCATTTCCTACTGTAAGCTGCTGCATCAAGTGAAGTGATCCAATGTTACAGTAAGTCCCAATGCACAGACATTATGCAGTTCTACAAGCCTAGTAAATTTCCACAAGCATGAGCTGTGAGAATTGTTTAGATTTATGAGGGAAGTGGAGGAGAAATATAAAGATGACAAAAGGCAAACATATCAGTTGAGTTCAGGACCTCAGATATCTGGTGTCATTATCACACACAGACAATACAAACAGATAGGAGATAAAAAAAATAGCTAATACTGTCTTTAGTCCAGGGTCAGAGAATGTAAAGTCAATATGAAATTAAATCCAGTCCTGTTAGGTTTCTTAACACACGGTGAATGGTTCATCGGTGGATGTTATTCCAAATAAATATTTTTCTTTATAATATTTCATTAAAATGTATTAACTTCCTCAGAAAACAACTTTCCCCTTCAACTAATGTTACTGAGGATGAATATGATTTAGGCATTATTTTTGCAAACTTTCATTAGATTTGGCTTCATTCTGTTATGGATTACCATCTTTTCACCATCCAACCAATTTCCTACATTTTTCTAATGAACATCCTATTTCACTCGGATTATTTCCAGTTTGGAGGTGTATCAAATCCCAGTAAAAGATAGTTTTTTTTCCCCAGTAAAAAAATTATTTTCTAAATTTGTAGTATCAAATCATGTTTTCATAGTTGACTTGGAAAAGCGATTGTCAGTGCTTTTTCTGGACAACTAGTCAGTCTTAAGGAAGTCATCTGTAATAACTAATATATAATTATAATTTTTTTATTAAGTATTGTTATTTTTAAGCATCTGATACACTCCAATCACATGCATTTTTTATTGTGTGTTCATCTACTGTAGTTTGCACTATTACATTTAAGAATAGCTATAGCCTAGATTGTGCAACAGAAGGGAAAATAACACCGTGG